TTTTACTTTAGTTTAATCTTTTAATATTTCTTTTCAGCGTCGCCATGTTTGAATTTTCGTGGAGTCAGCACAACAATAATTGTTTTGTTTCTTCTTGTTTTTTGTTTTGATTATATATTCTGTTATTTTAAAATATTATTTTTATGGATGCACCTTCTCATTACTTCTGTTAAACTCATTTTTTCTAGATTCTCCCTTTGCATTGTTTTTCTTTCTGTAACAGCAATGAACTTTATCATTATGTCTGTAAAAGTTATTCTTTGGGAGCGGTCGTGGTCTAGAGGTTAAAGTGTTTGCCTCTTATTCAATAGGTCGTGGGTTCGAATCCGGGAAGCGACGGAAAATTTTCTTCTCTAAAATTTTTTCTTCTCCTTTCACACCCTTTCCTGCTCTCTCGCAATGTATTGGTGTCTGCTTTTGTCTCCACTCTCTTCCCCCACTCCCTCATCTCATTTGCCCCTTTCTCTGGGCTCCTGACTCTTTCTGCAGCCTTTCTACTGCTACTCCTTCGCTTCTTCTGACTGTTGTCTTTCAGCCACACCCCTGATCTTATGGTAGGAAAGATCTACACCTAGCCTGTTCGGACAAGGGCAAAAAATCTCGGAGGACCCGTGCGAAAGTTGCCCTCGTTAAAGATCCCTTGGTGGTCCAAAATCGATAAGAGTAGGCTTCGACTACCACCCGGGCAAAATTAAAAATTTCTTACAAACTGAAAATGTTTAATGTGTCCCGCGCGCTCATTATGACCTTACAAAAAAGTCGTTCTTTCGTAATGTCTGCATATTATTTAAAAATTAATATTATTATTGATTTGTCATAGCAATGTGCTTCCTCCTTAGTTCTATAAAGCTTACTCTGTGAGACTGTATGTTGTTGTTGTTTTGTTTTGTTTGTTTTGTTTTGTTTTGTTTTTGTTTTTTAAAGCAATGTACGTTATGCTTCTGTTTTGCTTGTTCTTTCAGTCAAATCTTCGGTTCCTCGCCGTGCACTCAACTGGATATGTGGCATAGACGATGCAAATAAAAACCAGCTCTCCGAACATCAGATCGAATTCCAGGACATGCTCTCTATAGAGGAAACTCCTGGTCTTCAGCGACTGACAGCACTTATGGCAGCTTTACTGGCTGTCTTGACAGCTTTTGTTTGCGGCTTCTTTGCCTAACTCTTTCTGTACCAAGCGTCGTTACACCGGTGCCCTTCTTTTACCGCTTTTGACCTCATCCTGATAATTCGTTGTTTGAAAAGGGTTAACATTGACTTTTGCCAGTTTGTCTAATCTTTTCGGATTTTCTTTTAAAGAATTTAACGAATGTTCCAATACCTCCAACTAGTCATTTGTTTTAGCGCTTGAAGCATGTCAGCAGTACGGGTTATAGTGTGGAATCTGTCCCGCTTTTTAAAGCTTTTCTCATGTTTTATATAATCACACTGGTCATTTCATACGATGTGCAAAATAAAATAAGAGATAAGATAAGATAAGATAGTACTTTATTATCCCAGAGGGAAATTTTCCTTGGCTGTAGAGGACCGTAAAAACACATGCAGGTATACATACAAAAATTTTAATTATGTAATATTACTGTCATTAAAATTCAATATGAAAGGACAAGTAAAGCTGACAAAATGTACATTTACATTAAATGCATTATTCAACCACATGCAGGAATTTAAAAACTAGACCTTTGGAGTTATATACAGATACATACTCTAAGAGCAATACACATATATGCTCATTCTGACAAAAGCCTTATGCTAGATGGTAAAAAACTTCTTTTATATCTTTCTTTCTTTGTTTTAGGAGGTACATATCTGCCGCTGAGTGATCTTACAAATTGTGTGGAAAAGGGGTGTGATGGGTCGTTTATAATGCTTTTTATCTTTTTTATACGTGTGATGTTATACATTTCATCCATTCTTATAAAATCATATCCAGAGATCTTGCTGGCTTTCTTTATGGTTCTGTCAAATTTTTCTTTATCTTTCACCTTACAATTCCCACCCCAGCAGCAAATACAAAATAATAGCACACTTTCTATCATAGAATGGTAAAAAGGGACATAATCTTATTGTCAACACGGAAACTTCTTAATTTCCTTAAAAGAAACATTCTTTGATTTACTTTTTATGCACAAGAGCAGCGTGGGGATGCCAGTCAAGTTTGTGGTCGATTGTTGTTGTACTTTTATCCTTAAGGAATATAATAAATACAAAATGACTAACCATCACTCAAAACAGGACATCTGAGTCTTGCATTTAGATGGAAATGTTCAGCATCCTTTCCAATACAGAAAAAGTCGTTGATGATACTGTGCCCGGTACCTTTAAACCTCTTTCTCAATACCGTAAGATACTCCAGACTCCACCTTTAAAGTAAAACCCCTCTAAGAGGATGTAGGCCCACCATTAATCTCCATTAGAAAACCATTACAATGATTCAAACTATCAATAGCTTAAAACACCCTTTCAATAAAGAGTAAAGATCATTTTATAAGCTGAACCTTTAAAACACCCAATTAAACAAATAAAGATAATTTAAGAGAGTGTACATTTAAACATCCATTTAAAACCAATACAGGATGCCTAAGATGCGAAAATGGTATTGTTTATTTTATTAATTTATTTTTTAAAAATCTAAGTTTAGTTTTGTACTAAGTTTAACGTCCTTGGAACTGTTATTTATCCCCAGTGTTTTTCTTTTATTTTCAGGGATGGGATGGGTTTTCATTGCATTGGCATTATTTTAAAGTGGTGACACAATTTAAATCACTTAGAGCGCTGGCCTTGATTCTGCTTGCCTTGGCCAACCCCAGCTAAGAAGAATACCCCGAAAACCCCAATAAAAGTTCACCTGATACAGGAACCGAAGTCAGGTTTTCTGCGTGCGGTGGCGAAGAGCCTAAACAGTACACCACTGACTCTAGTGTCCATGATGGGTGAAAGTGGGAATGTTTAGAAATTTCGTTTTGAAAAGTTTAGAGTAAAGAAAATATTTTTATTCCCTTTATATTGAATAATTGAGCGCTTTTAGAATTAAGCTATTGACTTTTGCAACGTTTTTATCTTTTGAAGAAGATCCCATCGATGTCTGAACCTCGTGGCTCCTAAAAGTTGAAAGTTTTCTGATTTTAATTCAGCTTCACCTCTGCCCTAACACAAAGTATTAGATCTATGTCCTTAAATTAAAACTATCTTATTTTTTTGGATAACCGGATTACTAAACCTGCATTGCATTTCACTGTTCAGATTGTTCTGAAATAACCAAAGATAGTTGTATATTATCAGGATTAACAGTTCTCACGCCCAAAAGTCTCCTTTCAGGATCACACAATATACCCGCATGTGTATGTCATATACAATTTGTTCAAACAATTATATATATATATATATATATATATATATATATATATATATATATATATATATATATATATATATATATATATATATATATATATATATCACCCCCTTTTCTCTCGGTGTGTCCCTCTGTCTCTGAGTCTCTTTCTGTGTCTTTCTATCTCCCCTCCTCTTTCAGTGTCTCTATCTGTATATATAATGCACATAGATTAACTTTAAATATTGTTTCTCTCTTTGACACAAGTTGGATAATTTACGATGTGGCCTGCCTGCTTCGACCCTGCTGGTGAGGTTCAGCCCTACTCGACACGGTACAATTATATATATATAATAATACAATATATATAATGTATATCTACATAGATTACATAATGTATATTATTTAATATGCCAAAGAAACCTGGTACATATCACAAATGCAAGAAGAAAAAAAAACATTCCCAAACTGAAGTGAGCAAAACCTGGCTCCTGTTTATGAGATGCCTTGCCTACTTTTCTATGCTTCTCTTTACTCAACAGCAACAACAACAACAACAACAACAACAACGACAACAACAACAACAACAACAACAACAACAACAAAAGCAACAACAACAACATTACAAAGTTTAGTAGAACTGGATTCCTCGATAATTATCATTTATGTATTCAAAATAACTGTTGTTTATTGAATTACCTCTAAAATACTTTCTAGATATTCTAGGTATAATTTTTCTTCTGATTTGTTAGATGTGCTTAGACCTTCATCCTGTTTGTGTTTGCCCTTTTGGGGAGGGGGGGGGGTGCGGGGTTGCTATTTTGTTTCTGTTTCTTTTGAATAACTTACTTACTTAAGTCTGTCAGCAAAATAAAATGTGTCTATACTCCTGCTTTGTACAGGTAGGCAGACACAAAATGGCTGTCGGAAAAGTTTTGTTAAGATGTATGTGATGTGAATAAATTAACTTGCCATTGAATGTTTTATACATGTATATCTCACGCTTGCAACTAATTGCAATAGTATGCTTTTCCAGGCTTGTTGTTATGTAGTAATGGTAATTTATGTGCTGAACGAACCTATTACTACAGCAAGGTTAAAATAACAATGATAGTAATAGTAATAATAGTAATAGTAATAATAATAATAATAATAATGGTAATGATAATAATAATAATAATAATAAAAATAATAGTAATAAAAATAATAATTATAATAATAGCATTATTAATAATAATAATAATAATAATAATAATAATAATAATAATAATAATAATAATAATAATAATAATAATAGTAATAGTAATAGTAATACTGAATAATGATAATGATGATAATAATAAAGATAGTAACAGTAATTGTAGTAGTTGATGTCATTCATATTACGCAAATTCCCGACCATATTGCCAACAGTTTTCAAAGTGACACTATTTTGACTTCTGGTTTGGCCCTCTAACATAATGTTTCTTCGCTCTAAGTCACTATAGGACAAAAGAAGTAACTTTTTATCGGCGTCTGTAGTATAGTAAATAGGGGTTTCGCCATTACACGAAGATATCCTAAAATCGATTCCCGAATAGGAAGAATTCTTATCACGTATCTCGCTTGATTGTTTTGCAAGGACGTTGAATCCCTTTTTGACCTCGTAGACTCAGACAGCAGAGTCGAAGCCCGCCTTCTAAATGATCTAAAATCTAATTGTGTCAATAGGGCATTAAACACATACATTATTAAGCTAAAGAAAAATTCACAGTACCTCTTTGAAAGGACAGAGTCAGTCGAAAATTTGGCTTGTCGGAAAAGCAAGATCGGATCAAAGCAGAACATTCTACCTATTACGTTATCGACAGAATTATGTAAACGCAGACGAAAACTTCCAAGCGTAATTCAGCAAGATATAATGGTTCATAGTGTGTTTGGTAAAGAATAAAGGGTGTGAGTGTATGAGTTTATGTGTCTAAGGAAGGATTTTCACAAAAGTGAGTTTGTATCTAACTGGATTGCATTGCCATCACTAAATTAAATTTTCCATTTTTACTGAATGTTCTAATTTCTCAGACTTTCTCTTTCTTGTGGTTGGTATCTTATAGAATACAACGTTGCTTTTTAAGTATATTAGAACTCTTCCGAAGGCCACATGACAGTTTGTATAATAATTATAATAATAGTAGCCCGTCTGTCAATGTCTGACAATGACCAATGCATGCACAGGAGAGAATACGTGTATTTTTCAGCGGAATAAAAGAATTAGAAGGATGAAAGGTTAAGATGACGGGTGGCTTCTGCTGTGACCGATGAGACACATTCTGGCAGAGAAAGTTGGCCACATTTTGAACATTCATCCTGGTTTCTATCTTGGTTTCAACATTTCTAATTCGTGAAGCCTCATATGATTTGCTGCCCATTGTGACTGCAGCTCTCCAGCTCAAATATTGAGCAGAAATGTATCATTGATCATGTGTTTGTGCATTTCGAGCTGAGTTCTATCTTGCACTATCAACAATTTCCGACTATTGACAGTTTTTAGCACAGCTGTTAAGGTTGTAAAAAAAATAGTTTGTTTGAGCCAATTATTGTTATGATCAATGATTCTACTCCGGTTAGGCTCTGTTATATTTTGTACTATTTATGTCACGTTTTCGATCTGGAATTCGGTGTTTTCAGAGTGATGTACTCCAATAAGAGAAGAAATGGAGCTACCTCAATATACACGCAGTGCCACGTTTGGGATATGGATTGTGGTGATATATGAGCAATTATTATAATAATATATGATCACGTGTCGGAAAGAGGTGAATTGAAGAAATAAGAAAAAAAGCATAAAAAGGAAACAGCAAAAATAACATTAGACCCAACATTTGGAACCTGTTTAGTACGCAAATCTAAGGTCTCCATCACTCTCAGTGAGGCTACATTTTGGTCACCATCACGTTTTGTGAGCGCAAAAGACACTTTTAAGAAGAGTGTGTTCGCGAATTGACGTTTACCTCTGATATTATAATCACAAAATCACTTGGTCTTTCGAAGACTAAACCACAAACGTCCGTTGAGAGGAGAATGGAGAGAGGCAGACAACCACCCCCCCCCCCCCCCCCAAAAAAAAGCCAACAAAGCAAAACAAAACAAAACAAAAAAGGTTCAGAATGTGAACCGGCCTGTT